AGGTGTATACGAATCAACCTGATGGCTCTCTGTAGAACTTCATGTAGCTTTACAGTTTTTTCAGATCCCACCTGGCCTTGTGGTCCCACAGCCCCTTATGAAATAATCATTTAGAGGCTTAGTATTAATTGCAAATTATATGGCCTATGGCTCAGGCTTCTTGCTAGCTAGCTCTTTCATCTTAAATTAACCCATTTCTATTAATCTACGTTTTGCCACATGGCCGTGGCGTTACCAGTCTGCTGGCATCTTGCTTCTCCTTCTGCAGTGGCTGGCGTCTCTCACGCCTCGGTTTCTTCTCTCCGTATATTTCCCACTTGCCTATAAGCTCCCTTGCCATAGGCCAATGCAGCTTTACTTATTAACCAATCAGAGCAACACACATTCACGGCATACAGAAAGACATCCTACAGCATTCCATCTAGAACCATGCAGCCAAGTGCTCACTTGGAGAGAGGATAACCTTGAACTCAGGGACTGTCACCCAGGGAATACTTCTAATCATTAAATACTGCAGCATAAAAAGCCCAGGTCTGGCCTAGGAGCTGAAGATGCTCCATTTCCTCTCCTTGCTCTGTTGTTCTTTTCTTTAAACGTGGGCACCCATTATTTTGACTTTCTTTCTCACTTCCTCCCAGAGACTCTGTCCTCTTGGATTCCTGTTCTTTTGGATTTCTCAGTATGAGAAATAAAACCTGCAACCAGCACCTTCCCACCCGTTGGCTTCCCCTGTGCCTTGAAACAGTGATTTGGGGGCCGCGGCACAACGCTCAGACTAAGCTCCGAGAAGCCCAGATTACATGACTCTCCTCCAGCTTTCTCCAGATGCAAAGTGGAGCCTCCACCGCTGAGCAGGGAGGAGTATTTCTAGAGACATGTAAGAGACTGGAGAGCCATGGGGGTGGGGGTGGGGGTGGGGAGCTGTATGGTTCTTCTGCTCCAGGAGAACATCAAGAATGGGAGTGAAAGGGTTATTCTTGGTTTTCATTTTTTCCATTGATTATTTTGTTTGAAAATATGTTATTTCCTTGGAAAATGGAAGAATGGGGATATTTTCTTAGAATATCTTCAAAAATTTACACATGGTTACTCTGTACCATAAACAAGAATAAACTGTAGGAATTTGGAAAACGTAAGAGTACAAACAGCTATCCACCAAGCTTCCAGACAACAACCAAAAAGGGACTATTCCATTTATAAATGGAATTCTTTGTGGATACAATAGTTTGGACAGTGTTTATACATTGTTTTCCTTATTATTTGGAGGATTTTCCCCCCTAGCTACCGAAGCTGCAGGACTGGTATCCAGAGCTATAAAGAGTGGAGATAAAAGGGAGTTTACAACCTTTTAAAAATCTTCAGCTAAACTTAATCAGTTCTGCATCTGGGAGAAACATCTGCCTGTTGAGATCATTTGTAGCCATCTGAACAGACGAGAATGAATGGAGTCAGGAAAGCAGGAACAGAATAATTTCAAGATGGGAGAAAGAGGCTGCAATTTGTAAAAAAAAAATGTAACAAATGTGTAGAGTTCTTTGAAGGCAAATGTAGCCGGCTTGCTGATTTCAGAATATGTTCTTTAAAATCGTGGTATGGTATGAAAAAGGCTGACCTGGTGAAAAGAATGAAGAACAGTGTGCAGGTTCAGCCCCTCTGGGAGCCGTCCTGGGTGCATCACAAAAAGTATGTGGGGCAGTCTCACCCGCATCTCACAGCCTGTCTCGTTATAGTTGTGTGTGTGTGTGTGTGTGTGTGTGTGTGTGTGTGAGAGAGAGAGAGAGAGAGAGAGAGAGAGAGAGAGAGAGAGAGAGAGAGATACGGGTACCAGAGGTTGAAATAGTCCCCATTCATGTCCAGTTTTATTTTTTGACATGGTGCCATTTACTTAACCTTGAGGACTGATTTAGCTACAGTGGATGTCCAGTAAGACCCGGGGATCCTCCTGTCTGTCTCCCACTGTGGCATTACAGGTTAGTATCATGGTGCCTCACTTTTTAAATGGTGCTGGGGACCTCTGTGCTTGGGTGACAAGCACTTCACCCACCGAGGTATCTCCCCAGCCCGTTTATTTATGTATTTATTTGTTTGTTTATTTGGCTTTAACTTGTTTCCAAAGCGTGTTCATTATTATGGCACAAAAGCTACTCTGTCCTTAGTGAATAGATGTATTTCCAATTCCCCCAACCATGTGAACAAACTGAGTTGTTGGAGGTGTAGAGCAAACCCAGCAGCTCCTGTGTCTAGGAAATCAGAAAGGCTGGGTGTGGGTGAATTATAGCAGGCGGAAGCTGTGCTGTGAGGTCCCGTGGGACCGAAGAGTGACCAATGAGAGGGATGCTGACTTCCTGGAGACATGGTCCCCCTCCTTAAATCTCGTTCGCCTCCTCTCTGCAGCCCATGAAACCTACTTCTGACTTTCAAAAAGAGCTGCAATTTCTTGGGGGACCTATAATAAAAAGGATTCTCCTGTCACAAGAATTAAGAGGCAATTTGGTCACACTGTCTTCTAGAATTGGCTAAGGCTAAGTTAACATTTTTTTTTAGTAGTGATGCTGGTCTACAAACAAGCCCCTCACCTGATTACTCATTCAGAAACGTAGATCACCCAAACAGGCATTCATACAGCTATGCTTTTAATGATCTTTTGATCTTTAGCTAGCTTATATGACTGTTCCTCCCGTCCTGGTCACTTCTCACCACAGTAATGGCAGTGACCTCCCCCCCCCACATCCTTCCATCCTTCCGTTAACACCTTGAATGTGTGAAAATGACATCTCCCAGTGCTTTCTGGAGGTACTTTCTTTGGTTGGTTGGTTGTTTTTGTCACATCAATTCTTTACTCAAAGCAATGTCAAGTGGATTAAATTATCTGGGGCCTTTTCAGTGGAGGTTCCTATGAGAAGGGCGAGGCCACCTGTCTTCAACCTGCAGAAATTGCAGCGCTAATTGGGAAGGAATGGTGGAAGGAACTTCTGGTGTTCTGCTCCCACTGACAAAGTCACCCATAGAAAAGGAGCCCTCAGACCATGGTGGCCAAGAGAAGATGCTCACGCTAGGCAATACGCCTTCTGCTCTGGTTCAGGGATTCCACCCAAGCCTCTGGCTGTAAGTGAGGTCCCCCACCATGAAGCAGCAGGTTGGTGGCCTAGAATTGTGTCTGTGGCTGGAAAAGCAAGGATGAAAAACTGGGGAGTAAGTGGAGGCTGGTCATGTTTCATGAACTCTGCTCCAAGGTAATAAGGGAATTTTTGTAAATACAGCAATGGAAGAACTTGTTAGCTGATTTTCTCACTGTGTTTTAAAGGAAATTTAGCTTTGGAGTTCACAACTTGGATTTGGATCACAACTCTGCTCACAGGTTAGGTCATCTTGGTCAAGTTCCCCAATCCTGTTTTTCCACTAGGAGAATGAAGATAACTGTTCTATGTATCTGTTTCTCCACTAGGAGAACAAAGATAATTGTTCTATGTATCTGTTTCTCCACCAGGATAATGAATATAATTGTTCTATGTATCTCTGTTTCTTCACCAAGAGAATGAAGAGAATTGTTTTATGGATCTAGCTACAAAGAAATACTAGTGGAAAAACACTCAGAAGAGCCTGGACACACCAGTGTGGAGAACACTCTTCTTGCCTCCCCTACTCCAGGCCCCCTTCCTCATCACATCCCTCACCACAGGACAGTACCTGCCTTGAGGCAGCCCAGTGGAACAATCTTCTCTGTGTCTCCAGCCCCAAGGGGGAGCAGGTAAGTGCTGGAGGAATGCCCATTTCTCTTTTCCTTTCCATAAATGGTTAATAAACCACTGAAGGTTTGGCTTATTGCCTGCTTGGGTAGATGGGAAGGCTCACATTCTGCGTGTGGGTGGACAGGCCTGAAATCAACAACGGGTATCCCACCGACCAGCTCTGACTGAGCAAACATCTCTAAACCACAGCTTCCTTCTGGCAGTATGTGTCTGATGTCTACCGTGGTGGTTTGAAAGAAAATGGCCCCCTAAGGGCGTGGCACTGTGGGGAAGTAGCTTTGTTGGAGTGGGTGTGGCCTTGTTGGAGGAAGTGCGTCACTGTGGGGGCGGGCTTTGAGTTCTCCTTGGCTGATCAAGCTTCACTCAGTGTGACACTCAGCTCACTTCCTGTTGCCTGCAAGTCAAGATGTAGGCTATGGCCTCTTCTCCAACACCATGTCTACCTGCACACCACGTCACAACATGATGATAATGGACTGAACCTCTGGAAAAGTAAGCCACTCCAGTTAAATGCTTTTCCTTTACAAGAGTTGTTGATCATGGCGTCTCTTCACAGCAACGGAAACAACTACTTCACTAGGATTGGCAGAAGGAGTCAGCACAGTGGCTCACATGTGGTCCCCACCATCTCACCCTCAGTGGCTTAGGATTCAGAAATCATACATGGTCAGAGATGGCCCTCCTACCTCATCAAGGACTCTATGTAGAAGTGAATCACTAGCTCATCCACTGATTCCGAAAGGAGGACATGGCAGGTTGGGAGGAAGGTTAGTTTTTAATTTTAGCCCACAGATGGGCTCCTATTGACATCTTGACAAGCTAGGGTAGGAGTCGGCCAAGCAGGCCACCAGCTCCAGATGTTTGCCCACCTGATGGGTTCCCCAGAGATTTCAATATTGCCCTGCAACCTCATAACTGAACACTAAGATACCCGAAGTAATATTCCCTTCCACATCTCCCCCTCCCCGTTTCCAGTGGAGTAAATTAGGTATAAACCCGATAAGAAGAAAACAAAAGTGTAACGAAAGTGTGTTTTCAACTTGGGCTCAAGGGCTTGAGTAATCGTGGCGCTTAGTAATGATGTACTAAACACTGCCAGGTGTCACAGGTGTGGGATCAAGTCGATGGTACCTGGCCACACAAAGTGCACGTAAGGGACAGGGTCGTGATGGCTACATCTCGCCTCTGTCTTCTAAGAAGCAAGGCAAGGGGCATTGGCTCTTGGAGGAGCGCCCTGGTGGACATACAAACCTTTTACTTATTCTGGTTTCTAATTCGGAGGCACCTCCTTTTGAGCGGCGGCTCCAGGTCCTCGGGGCCTGCGCTGAGCATGGGCGAGGAGATGACGCACGGCGCCATGGCAGCCTTCTCCGTGGGTTTTGGCACAGGCTGGATCACGCAGCCGGTCTTGGGCAGCATCCGCAGAGCATAGGCGTGGTCCTCGTCCGCCGGGTTATTGAGGTTCGGGTCCGACTTGTCGCCCCCCGCCAGGGCCTCCTCCCCCATCAGCTTTTTGGTCGCCTCCCCGTCCAGGTGGCAGCTGGAAGAGCAGTTGTTCTCCTTGACAGACTCCAGCTCGTTCACCGCGGGCTCCTCGGGCGACAGCAGCTTTTTGGGGGGCGCGGGGGGCGGTGGCTGCTCCGGCGGCGGCTCTGCGCCCTTGGCCTCGGCCGGGGCGCCGCGGGTGCCGTTCACGATGACGTTGCAGGCGGCGGCAGCCTCGGG